CTCAGCCATCCTGATGTTATTAAAGAAAAAGAGTTTAAGGAGAAAATCGATTCGAGTAAGTCAATTCCTACTGTTTTTTGTTACGTGTCTCACTCTGATCGCTTATCGTTTTCAGTGGCGATTGAGAAGCAGCGCATGCAAGATCATATCGACCAATTGAGACGGAACTCTGAGAAAGAACGGTTAGAGCAACAGGAAACCTATCAAGCGGAGGTGCGCTCTTATCTTAATCTGCCATCTGTATTAGTGCAAAAAAGAACTTCTCCTTTTTAACGACTTCCGCTGCGTCTCAAAGTTAGTAAAGAAATAGTAAAAGTATACTTTCTCGTGTTCCAAGTATTTCTTACAGTGTCAATTGAATAGATTTTGCTAATGGACTTCACTACTTTATACTCATAACTCTTGTGTATATGTGTAATAGCCCTTCTCTTTTAAGTTGCGGCAGCTGAAATGTAATGTGGAGAACCTTCAAAAAGAGCTTGCTGATCGTGACGTTCTTCTAGAATCTCAAAATGAAAAGGTTTGACCGCAAATTGTCTCTAGAGAACACTTCCTTAACGTTTTTATTTTGAGATCGGTGATATGGACAGAGAACTTGCATCATCACGGCAGCGATTGCAAGCCGTCATTGTCGATAAAGGAGAGAATGAACTTCGCAGAGAGGTAGAATATATTTTTCCCAGCTTTAATTGATCTATAGAGCTGTTCATGATTAGGTTGAATCAGCACGAGGTGAAGTGGAAAAACTTCTGAAAATGGTTCGGCAGCTGGAAAAGGAGAATACGCAGTTGAGTTCGCAATGTAAGCAGCTGCAGAGCGCAATAGATCGAGGAGGTACAGATAGCAGTGGAACATTGACAAAGGTTTGCACCTATCTTGTCTCCGAAAGAGAGCAAACGTAAAAGCGCTGATTCTTGCAGGGCGATATGACTTCAGTAGTTTCTGGCAGTCTGTTATCTGGAGGCATGAGCGCTCAAGCCAAAAAGAGGTACGTGAACTGCTCATGCTCTACTATAGTAAATTTCCGTGTTGTAGAATTGAGGAATTGGAGGAGGCACTACGTGAATCGGTAAGCATCACTGCCGAAAGAGAAGTTCATCTTTCGCAGCAGAAACATCTACTCCATCAAGTAAACCAACAGGTATTTACGCTTCGAAACCTTTGATCAGTAATTACGAAACCAGATGTTTCGCCTAGTTGTCTGATGCACGCCGTGAGAATGCTGAGCTGAGAAAGCGGTTGTCAGAGGGAGGAGTTGCCGAACGTGAACAACTTTTAAGGGCTGTGGAATCGGAGCGACGTCAACATATTGAACAGCTCCTACAGCTTAAGTAGGATGATGTTGTCTTTTTGTTAGTTCTGCAAAAATTGCCCGAACCTTTTCGAAATTCAGACAAGAAGCACTCTTGGCGGCTATAGCAGAAAAGGATGCTCACCTTGCTCTCCTCGAAAAATCCCGTGCCCCTCGAGATGAAATCGACACCGTGCGAAGACATAAAGAAGCGCTTATGCGAAAGTTGAAACAAGAAAACGAACGGTCTGTTATCTGACTTTCTGTCAAAGAAAGTAAAAGACCCAAATACACTCCAACTCGTCGTAAAGCAATAGGTGTGATATCCATATTGAACTGGGCTCTAAAAGATATTTCGATAAACTTGTATCTTTTTTCCGAGATATCTACTCACTAGTTATTCATACTCATCTGGAAAGGGCGCCCATCACTTGATAGCTTGAGCCAGTAGGTGACTAAAGACAAGAAAACGTTTGCATATTTTTGGTGTTTCCACAAACTTTCCAAGGGTTTTTCAGCAGTAAGGAAAGGATCCGCTTCTAATTTGATGCAGCAAAAAAAAAGCCGCAAAAAATGGCTATGCAGTAGTATTTAAAAAAAAAAAAGATTT